AAATAAAAATAAATAAATAAGTAAAATAAAATATAATAAACACAAAATCTAAATCAATAACTAAATAAAAAATTAAGTAAATAATAAACAAATTAACAAATTACGAATGAACACATAAACAAAAGTCATTGCAATAATAATAATAATCAACAAATAATGAAGTAAGCAATAATAAGTAAAACATTTAAGAAACAGCGCTATAAAATAGCCACAAATAACCGCATTCAAATCTACAGGTATTTCTACTCAATAACCCTTAGAATAATTTGAAACACTGACGTTATAGACCGTCCACCATCCAATAACCGTTAAGATAATGCAATAGGCCTTCTACCCATAATGCATTCTGGATCATGTGCGTTGTATTTTGGTTCGACTATTTATATATGTCAGCATTTATATACTGAAAAACATATATAAAATAATCGATCAAAAATACAACACACATGGCCTGAAGTTTAAAAATAATATATATATATATATATATATATATATATATATACAATATTTCGCTGATTCCCAAACTTCATGAATTTAAGCGTTCTACTAAGCTAGCATCTTGCTCACACCCTTTCACTGTCGAAACTGTTAAATGTAGCTGTCTCTTCTACTCCAATAGCTTCATGTCTCGCACCTCTCACCTGTGGAACTCCCTCCCCTCTTCCTGTTTCCCTGATAGCTATAATCTCCAGCTATTCAAATGTAATGTCAATCGACGTCTCCAGATATCCTAATCTATCCCCTATCCTTCTCTTCATCCTTTCCTCTATCACTCCTCTTTTATTTCTCTAACTCTCTAATCCCTTGTAACCCCTGTGTGTGGGTGTGTATATATATATATATATATATATATATATATATATATATATATATATATATATATATATATATATATATATGTGTGTGTGTGTGTGTGTTTAGCCAAATTAATTATCTATTATAAAAAATTTAAGACAGCTAACCTTATCCTAAAAAACACACCGACTAAGTCAAAATTAGAAAGAACGAACATTATTTATGAGTTCAAATGCACCTTAAAGAACTGTATTCCTGATCAAACCAGACTCATAAATAATTACAGCGATTACACTACTACATGATTATCCAGGCGGCTTACGTTACACCTATCTGATCCCAGCTCCATTAGAACCCATTTAAACACACGCACACACTTACCAGACTCCATTAGAAACATACAAGTAGAAAACACATATATATTAAGTGTATCCCTCTGCAAAAAAAGATTAAAAATAATGGAAGCTTTAATAATAAAAAGAAAAAAAACAACTCTTAACAATATTAACTACGAACAAGGCCACAATATGCTACCCGTATTCGGAAACTAAAACATCCCTACTACACACTAAGACATAAACATAATGCACACACTTAATTAAGCTGAAAAATCGAATCATTCTTGATAATGGCTAAAGGTATAGCCGAAAGAGCTCGGAAATATAAAACATTTGGACAGTTCTTACACACCCTTTGTCCAGAAAAGAAAGCTCTTGTCAGAAAAATTAAATAAAAAGCTTAACCGTAGTACCTTGTGCGTCGTTTTTAATGAAACATGCATAAACGAAGGATTGCTGCCTAAATATACAACTATATATATATATATATATATATATATATAATGGATTTATTTTTAATCCAACACATTTTTATTTTTAGTGTATATCCGTGTATGGAACAGACGCCTTGATTTTTATTTTATTTTGAACAGTATGTATTGCGTCTACCGATCAGCACACACAAGAATAAAGAAATATGCTCCTCGAAGAGTTTAAAATAAAAATTAAACGCGGATTTAAAACACGGATATACATAAAAAAATAGCGTTTGAAGTCATATATATATATATATACATACATATATATATATATATATATATATATATAGTGTGATGGGTGAATTTTCACCATTTTACATTTTTAATTTCGCGCGTGGGCGTTGATTTTTATTTTATTTTGTCGGCTGCCCAGTATAGTAAGTTCAGTTGGACATCGTCTGTGAGAAAAAGAACACCACAATGCAATTCACTCCACCAGAAATTTGAAAACGGCATGCTGTACTGCTTGGCATTCGCACCGAATGTCCCAGTACGAACATTTCAGAGTGTTTGGGTGTCAGTTGATTCGGAAAGAGTTGGATGAGTCTAATGGTGATTACGAAGGAGTTTGGAGTTATCATTAGTGATGGCGACGTTATGCCTCCACTTATCTTCCCACATGGCCTCAGACTCAACACAGAGGCCTATATCAAGTGCCTTGAGGAGCTAGTGCTGCCCTGGGTCAATAGGGTCGCTTCTGGAAGGCCCTATCTATGGCAACATGACTCTGCACCATGCCACACAAGCAGGAGAACGCAGTCATGGCGGTCAGAAAACTTCTTAGACCACATCACGCCTTACCTCTGGTCACCTAACTGCCCAGACTGCCACACCCTTGATTATTATGTGTGAGGCGCAGTTGAGTGAGAGGCCAACAAAACTCCTTGTAACACCAAAGATGAACAAAAGGCAAGGATTATGGCAACATTCACCAATTTAAATAAGGAGGCAGTCCAGAAGAGTTGTAGGAGATTCCGAAGTCGTCGGAGACCGTGGTTGAAGCTAATGGTGATTTTATTGCATACATTTACTCTTTAGCATTTCAAGATACTTTTGTGTAATTTTTGGTAAATATATCTGTTAAAATGAGATGTCAGTGTCATTTTCACTCTTGCATAATTTACACGACAATATATCCATCACACCCAGCGTGTATATATATATATATGTATATATATATATATATATATATATATAATCGACTCTCCCGTCGAGATTCGACGTATGAGGGTCAAGCAGATCAGTTTCCAGGAAACCGACAGCCCGACACCAGCACATGAGATTTGATTATAGTGGTGAAGGCCTCGTGCAGGACCATCCACACTTTCTGAAGGGCCAAATACAGAGACCTGGTGCACCGAATGCCACAAGGTTCCCAAACGACCCTCCGTAGGTTTTAAATTCAGAGTTGTCCTTTTCCTAGACCAGTTGCCATCCAAGGCTATAGAACCCAGTGTGTCCTGCTATTTTACTTATAGCTGGAGGGAGAGGAAGAGGATTCATACCTTTCCCATTACCTTTCATGTAACTGGAATTCGAACTCGGTTCTGCGATTCCTCAATCCAAGCCGCTATCCATTACTCCACCGTGCCTCCTAGTATATATGTATATATCAAATATCTTTTGTCAAAATTAGTTATCTTTTCTTTTATATATATATATATATATATATATTAGAAAAAGATAACTATATATATATATATATCTTTATATATATATATATATATATATATATATATATATATATATATATATATATATATATATATAAAAAAAAAGATAACTAATTTTGACGGAAAGATGCGCGACAGATTTCTTTTTAAATATCTCAATAACCTGCTGGTACAGGTACAATTAGCAGAAAGCCTGTCAGGTGGTCAAAAGGAAACATTATAAAAAGAAAAAGTAACAATGAATAAAAAAAAGAAACAGGAAAAAACTGATACAAAAATTGGGAAAAATAAGCATCAACTAATAAACATATCCAAAGGCGGACACCGGCCAAAAGATTAAAAAAAAAAGAGAATGCTCTATGAATAGTTTAACCAAATAAAATAATTACACTTCACAACAGAAAGAGACAAAACTTAGACCGTTGTTTAAGTTTCCCACATCTCTGAGCTTCATGCGACTATATACATTGAGCGAGAGACCAACAAAATTCCTTGTAACAGTAAGGATGAACTGAAGGCAAGGATTATGGCAGCATTCACCGGTTTAAACAAGCAGACTGTCCAGAAGATTTGTTGGAGATTCCGAAGTTGTTTGGAGGTCGCGGTTGAAGCCAATGGCGATTTTATTGAATAAATTTACTCTTAAGTAGGTACCTCCACTTTTTCGCGAAAAAAAAATGCCCTAAACTCAAAGAAACAAAGTTTTATCATCAAAATGTTTATTTTATTATTAAGAGGAAAGATCAAAGTATTTTTTTATGATTGTTTTGAAATTTTTTAATCCTTTCTAGCACGTTCGAAATTTTGGTTAAAAATCTTATTTTGTTTACGTCAGCGGCCGACGTAATGATAACGATTAGTTTCTTTTGCGCTTTTTCCTGTGAAAAACACAATGACTTTGAAATTCTTGCAAAAACCAAATCATTGTTGGATTTTAATGAAACTTTCAGAACATTGTAAGAAATGAATGAAATTATTTTTGTAATTCTTTTTTTTTTTTTAGAAAATCTTGGTAAAAAATATATATATTTTTTCTTTTACATATGTTATCATCCCCTTACTTAATTTCAATTTTTAGGGCGAGAATTTTTTATTAATTAAAAGCAAGAAACCTTGGAGAAAGTAAATCATCAATAATCTTTTGTAAAACAGTTAAACCCATTCACCGAAAATCTGCTCTGAATTGTAAAATAAAAAATACAATAAAACTATGACATTAAAAGCTTTTAATTGCTTAGATGAATAAGATTTATTAAGAACACTATCGTCTTAAGAAAAAAATATTTTTCGATGAATAATTAATTTAAACAAGAATTCTTTTGATTTTTTTAAAAAGTTTGATTAAATAATTTATAATATTAAAAAATCGTTTAAAAATCGTTAAAATTGCGTCAAGGCGGCTGTTTGGTGATACTTTTAAGTAAAAAGTACATTTACGAATCAAATATTTAGAAGCAGATAACAGTCGTTTGTACCCTAATATTTAAAAAGAAAATTAAAAAAAATTAATTTTTAGTGTATAGACGTTCCCAATTTTTAACTACGGTAAGCCATAAATGATATCCTTTAAAAGATGACGTTATTTAAGAGTCGTTTTGCGCTCTGCAATCTTTCAATTTCATTATTCAGTTCTGTTTCATTAACATCTTTACAAATCAAAATTTCAAAGCAAGTTTTACTTTTTTTAATTACTATTTCACTAAATATTTTTATTTTATGTATTTATTTTATTCTGGGTCATACTTCAATTAAGTAAATTTTTTAAGTTAGTAAACTTATGAACCTAGAAACGAAACACAAATTTCATAAAGAATCTTGAAACGTAACTAAAAGTCAATAAAATATTAAATAATTACTGAAAATATGTTAATTTGTAAAAATTACTAAGTAGTTAAAAACCAAAAAAAATAAAAATAAAATAAAATAAAAAAATAAAAAATAAATAAAATAAAATAAAATAAAAATGCGTTCACTTAGATTTCGTAAATTTATGTCAATTCTGGTCATTCATACTAGCTTTCATCACCTCGGAAGTTATCGGTACGTAAATGAAGATAAAAGAAAAACAGGAGCTGTCGTTAAGAAATGCTTGTATATTATTTTTTATGCCATAAGTAAGTAATATTTATTTGAAATCAGATTAATTTAACTTTAAATTAGATAATTCTACTCAAATAACGTTTCAGAAATATATATTTTATTTTTGGAAGATTTTTAAAACCGATAATTTAGTTTTATTTACAATTTTTTTAAAATTATGAAAATTGGCGTTTTTCTGAAATCTGCCAAAAAGTTGAAATTCCGATCTATATAATTTCTATTTGAAATACGCCAGAATATTTTACTTACTGGAAATAATAAATTTAATCATTTAGCTTTCAGTTAAGCTAAAATGAAATCTTCAAGAATGCTTTTTCATTTTTAAAAATTCATTTTAAAACTTAGGTATCGAAAATTCAGTGGACGTACCCACTCTTTAGTATTTCAAGATATTTTTGTATAATTTTGGTAAATATATCTGTTAAAATGAGTAGTCAGTGTTATTTTCATTTTTGCCTAATTTAGACGAAAATTTATCCATCGCACCTTCTGTGTGCGTATAAGAGAGAATAGATATAGATAGATAGATAGATAGATAGATAGATAGATAGATGTGAACATAAAGATAGATAGCCAGACATGTACATATAGAAAGATGTGAAATGATAGATAGATAGATAGATAGATAGATAGATAGATAGATAGATAGATAGATAGATAAGTGTGAATAGCTAGCTAGCTAGATAGATAGATAGATAGACAGGCAGGAAGGAAGGCAGACAGGTGGTTGGTACTTAAGTAGGAAGTTAGGTGGGTAGGTAAGTATATGCATATGCATATAGATAAATATTGAAAGGAAAACTGCACTAGTTTCATTTATAAGATATGAACAAAATAAAGTTATTTGGTTCTTTGTACACGTGTGTTATGAAGAATATGCTATAAAAACTTCAAATTTGTTGGAAAGATTTCGCTATTTTCAACCTAGCAAAGAGTTTATTTGTCGATGTCAAATTGCTCTAACTAAATTAAAAAAAATAGGACTCCGAGCAATTTAAATATTTTAAAGAATATATACATACATGTATATGTCTGTGTTTGTGTTTTTACTGTAGGGGTGGGGGAAAGCTGTTCGCTGCGTCCTTGCTTGGTAATTAGTGGGACAATCAAATTTCCCGACACTGTTGAGAATGACGTCGCCGCAGAGGCTCACGGGAAATTTGAGGCAGTAAGGCAACATTTGAAAACAGCCGAAATGTGGAACGGTTGATATTTAAAATGCTACAGCCAGACTACAAAAAGTTTTTCTTATTAGACTGACTGAAACTGAGTTGTAAATTGCATTACTCTCTAGACTGGAGATGCTTGAATGTTCTAGCTTCTAGATTTTGATTTTTAGCCGGTTATTTGTATTTCAATGATTCCAGTAACGGACAGGACACGAATTAGGGTTACCAACGCAGAAAAATGATTTGTAGATAAATGCTATGACAAAAGTAGCTAAAATTATTTTTAACAATCACCACCATAGTAGCTAATTACAATAATAATAATGATAATAATAATAATAATAATAATAAAAAAATATAAAATAAAAAAATATTTATTTGAAATTTAAGTTAGTAAACTTATGAACCTAGAAACGAAACCCAAATTTCATAAAGAATCTTAAAACGTAACTAAAAGTCAATAAAATATTAAATAATTACTGAAAATATGTTAATTTGTAAAAAACAACAAAAAAAAAAGAAAAAAAAAATGCGTTCACTTACATTTCGTAAATTTATGTCAATTCTAGTCATCCATACTAGCTTTCATCATCTTGGAAGTTATCGATACGTCAATAGAGATAAAAGAAAAACAGGAGCTGTCGTTAAGAAATGCTTGTATATTACTTTTTATGTCATAAGTAAGTAATATTTATTTGAAATCAGATTAATTTAACTTTAAATTAGATAATTCAACTCAAATAACGTTTCAGAAATATATATTTTATTTTTGGAAGATTTTTAAAACCGATAATTTAGTTTTGTTTACAAATTTCTTAAAATTATGAAAATGGCCGCTTTTAAGAAAATTTTCTGAAATCGGCCAAAAAGTTGAGATTTTAAAAAATTATGAAAAATTAAATAAAATAAAATAAAAAATATAAAAATAATTATAGATTAAATGGTTGAAAAACTATTATAGTAGTATTGCCAGTTCCTCTCCGAATTCGATCATTTTGTAGCGATCATCATCGCCATTACACATACACATACATACATACAGATCATACGGCAAGCATTCATTGGCTGATCTCCTTAAAACTAGCTTGCTGATTGGTCAATTCCGACCAATCAAATTGCCGGCACGCTTGGAATAATTTTCCCTCGAACAAGCTTCGGAGCCTACCACGTGATACACAGCCTTATATAAACAAAATACGAATAAGCCTCTCTCGTGTTTCTCTTCATTCATCTTTTTCCTTGCTGCCAAGATGTAATCTTCAAGAGCTCCCGTCTTAACCGTTCGGTCAGACGTTAAAGAACATTACCAACAACTCTTACCGACTTTCTCGCAAGTCGTCAGTAGAGTCCAGGTATTACGCCTGTCTACACAGATCCACGACTTTACTCAAAACGCACACACAGACACAGATTTTTGTATTACATTACATATTCTTCCTCTCTGGGACTATGCCAAGTTCATGAACTAGAACTCTCTCTTACTTACTCAAAACAACACACTTCTTAATTAACTGTTTTCTATTCTAACACCAGATTCTATTCAACATAGTATCCTGAACATTCTTATTCAAAAGAAATTCTTTTGAACATTCAATCTTAATCAGAATACAGTTGAAGAGAAGCAACTTTTTCTCCCTTAATTACGACACACCATGATTGTTTTGTATGTTATTGGTTCAATATATATTTTATTGTTGATGCACAATTGGAGCCTCGTTGTTCTTTTTCTTGAATCATTAAATGTATAATAGATAAATGCTCTTAGAACACGCAATTACATTTGATAACCTCAAAGCATAAACCCAAGCAGCATTTAGAATTTCTTCCTGCATTTCTTAAGTATGCTCAGTAGAAGACCCTGGCTCTTTTTTTTTGCAGGATTCTAAGGTTCCTATCTTAGAAATGACGTGATCTGGCAGTTCGTATTTATAACAGCATTTTCCTACTCTCTTTAAATCAAATCTAATTGACACTATGCTATTGACGAGTCTTCCGTTCCGCCGTTTTCTTAACTCAGTTTTAATATTATTCATTTGGCTATAAAGGCGTTCCACTATTGCAGTTGAATGAGGAAATGAAATAATTTTTACTGCCAGGTTAACAACGTGATGAAAAGGGATTTTATCCAGTAGCATCCTGGTAGTGAGATATCTCCACCCAGAATTCTTAAGTATGAGAATTCTCTCTCCACTCTATTGTGTGGAATTTCCTCCATTGAAACTCTTTGCGAATTAGCACGTCGTCATCGAAGAAAGACGTTTTCGCAAGGCTAAGTATATCCGTTTTGATTGGATTGCGACAGTGATCAATACTCAGTGAAGACATTGCTTGTAAAATAGGAATAATGTCAGGCAATTTTTGACGAAATTGCTTTAAAAGGAAAAAAAAAAAATGTCGACGCAGTGGCTACAGATTTTTTTTTTTTGTCTTCCCCGGAAAGATTTCATTTGTTGATTTCGGTTTCAAATTGATAGGCCAAATATGGATGCGGTGTAAAATGTTTTAAATCCGCGCAGATTTATTCGAAATTGTCTTTGCATTTGGGCGCCAAAAATTTCGCAAATAAACGAATTTTAAAATATTTAAAAAAAAAAAGGAAATTAAAAAAAAAATTGTTTTGTAGATTAGCATTCCTTAAATCTTAAAGGCACAACATTTGTCAGAATCGAAAAATATTGATTTAACCCTTTGGGCCGTGATCTCCACTTTACCGGTGGTAGAGACAAATGACGTAATGCCCAGCCACTGGTTGAACAGTGGTAGAGACAAATGACGTAATGCCCAGCTACCGGTTGAACAGTGGTAGAGAAAACAGACTTAATGCCTAGGCACCGGTTGAACGATGGGTAAACACTTGTAACTGTTTTTGTATCTATCGTGAAACATTATATGCCCGTTATTTTGACTCGGTAACTCAGGCAGAAGGGGTAAAATTGTTCAGGAACGCAGGGCTGAAAAGGTTAAGGTATGGCCTTTTCCGAGAATCCCTTTCAGAACCTTTTCCAATGAAACCTTCGGATCCAACTATAACTCGAATTATTGATATCCTCGTGTAACTTTTCTTTAGATTTCCATTTCAAGATCCTTGTATTTTGATAGTTTTTTTAAAGTCTTTAAAGATACATTACAATCTGCAGGGACTTTATCATTATGAATATTATTTTATTTCCTTTGATTTCTGGTGTGTACACATTTCGTTCCGGGTTCTAAGATTAAAAATGGCATCACGACATTTTCCACTGACCAATTAAAACAACAAAAAAAATCACAAACATATTTTAAATAGATCGTAGGGGTTCATGGCTCTCCTCAATTTCCTGTCGTTTGTAGCTCTTAATAAATTTTGTCTTTTTGTTATCTCTCCTAAACCTTGTTCTGCCATCCATTTACTCAAGCTCATTAAATCGGTTATGCGTTAATCTCCCTTGTCGCTCTTACCTTCAATCTGTCCTGTGAGTATTAGAATTTCCAGGCCTTCTTTCCTCATTATGTGCCCTGGAAATTTTACCTGTGTCTCCCTGATGTTACGTTTCCTTTTTGTTTCCATTTTCTCTTAAACTTCGTAATGGCTCACATGTACGATCCATTCTATCCTCAGCATCCTTCTGTAGAGCCACATTTCTGTTGCTTATTATTATTTGCGAATTTTGACTCAGGAGCTCAAGCAGAAGGGTTAAAACTGTTCAGTGACGCAGGCATCAAAGGGTTAAAACCATCGATGACATATAGATGCTGGACACGCTGATCAAGGTCAGGATCGGTGGTAACTACTAGTGATTAAGCAAGATTCTGCTTCAAGTTTATGTTCCATTCCACTTCACCTCGTCACCAGGGAGTAGCGAGACTTTAGATAATCATGGCCCCTCCCATCACACAATTTGTAGCCGTCTAGCCCTCTTATGTCTGAGAATAAAGTCGACGTGTACACCAACCAGAGGCCTCTAAATACCAAGTATTGTTTGAAGGCCGTCGGCCGTGATGATCAAGATGAAACAGAACCTGATCCGGGCATACAGTCGCTCCCGGGGGTTGAGGGCAGTTTATTCAATGACTTCTTTCTGTTTTTCTAAGTTGAACATGTGCATATTTAATATATATATATATATATATATATATATATATATAATCACATTTTGTTCAGAAACCTACGATTAACAGTGCATATATCTGGAAATAGAGAGAGAGAGAGAGAGAGAGAGAGAGAATGAGAGAGAGAGAGAATGAGAGGGAGAGAGAGAAAGAGAGAGAGAGTGTTACAATCTGTGTAAGACAGTCCATAATATCTATCTGTCTGGAGGGAGTGACAGAGAGAGCGAGCGATACACACCCACACACCCACACACGCAGAAAGAGAGAGATAGAGAAAAGTAAATAGAGAGTGGGAGAGAAAGAAAGAGAGAGAGAGAGAGAGATGTTACAATCTGTTTATCTTAGTTTGTTCATATCTATGGATCGATCCGGAGAGAGAGAGAGAGAGAGAGAGAAAGAAAGAGAGAGAGAGAGAGACAGACAGACAGACAGACAGACAGAGAATAAGAGGGAGAGAGATAGAGAAAGAGAGAGTGTTACAATCTATCTAAGTCAGTAATATCTATCGATCCGGAGGGAGAGACAGAGAGAGCGAGAGAAACCCTCCACACACACGCACATACAGAGAGAGAGAGAGAGAGAGAGAGAGAGAGAGAGAGAAATAAAGAGTGGAGAGAGAGAGAGAGAACGAGAGAGAGAGAGAGAAAGAGAGTGAGAGAGAGAGAGAGAGAGAGAGAGAGAGAGAGAGAGAAAAGCGTTACAATCTGTTTATCTCAGTTCGTTCATATCTATAGATCGATCCGGAGAGAGAGAGAGAGAGAGAGACAGACAGACAGACACATCACACACACATCGCACACACACAGAGTGAGACACACACACACACACACACACACACACACACACACACACACACACACACACACACACACACACACACAGAGCTGCAGTGGCGGCGTATTTCTTGCCGGTTTTAGTGGTCGGTGTTCAATCCCAAGTAAAAATAAAGATTTCCAATATTGATTTTTAAAAATACGTCAAATCGATACAATCTCATTATCATTCAACACCATTTCTGAGATGCAGCTGCATTTGCATATGCGCATGCGTATTCCCAGTGTCATGATAAATACTTGCATATGAACCAACTGTAGGCCATAAATTCTACAATAAGGGGTGATAACTAAACTTAATCAAACCTTTCCATTTCAGTAGCTCGTAAAACTTTATATATGTATTGCAAGGCTTGAAGAATAAATAATTGGCAATGCATTTCTATAATAAAATCATTTATTACAACGAAACTTCGTGACAATGCGTTTATATTATTAAATCTTTTATAATGCTTTTATAGTTTAAAGCAATTATTCAATAATCACTCTAACCTATTAGGGAAAGTTATTGTAATTCATTACTACTGATAATTCTTTTGCTTTTGTGGTTTTCAATGCATTTTTCATTAATGATACATTTACATCATACATATAACAGCTCCGTTCTTCGGTCACCCCGAGGCGGTGTAATGGTTAACAAGCTTGTCTCGCTAGATTACGAATAAGTAGTAAGTTCGATCATCACTAGGTGCCTCATACTTTCGACCTTTAAGCTACGCTTGGAAAATCACTATAACAGCTCCGTTCCTTCAGGAACGTTAGACTTTTAAGTGTTGACCACTTAGAATGTATTTTTTGTTATTTTCAAAGCACAGTACATAGATTTAATGACAAAAGATGCTTAAAATAAATTTGAACTAAATATTATAAGGTTCATTGTTTAATCCTAATTCTTATATCCCTAGAAAAAAAAAAGTTGTTATGACAGGAAATGACGTAATCGAATGAAAGAAACTGGGAAAGTAGCGGTAATGTCAGTGAATAGTAATAAGAAGAATTGGAAAATAAATGGTTTTTGCTTCATGTTCTCCCTGCCGTTAGATATTTATGCGTCACAAAATTGCCCACTAGACTGCGTCAATAAATCGGTAGCCTGAAACTGAATTTTGGCCTGACATTTTTTTCTCTGTAATGTTCCATGTTAGGGCATAAGATCTTGACAATGACTTTCGATTCCTAGAAATCAGAATCCTAGGCAACAAATAGTAATTTGAACAATGTTTGTTACTAAATTTTGAATTGACTTTTCTCTCTCTCATTAATAGCCTGGCAAAAGGAAGGGGCCCTGAATTGATTCTAACAATTCTTTTTAACAAGCACATTTAAAATAAAAAATCAGATCACTTCAAGCAAAGAGATAATGTCACTAAGACGCAAGGAGCTACTGGACGTGATAGAGAATGTGGAGACTTTAGAAGAAAGCAGAAATTCAATCCTAGACGAAAAACAAGGGATAAACCTTAACTCTTGTTCAAAAAACCAGGGAGGCGTGTCAATAGTATGATAGGCGAGCCTATTTACTCCTGTTGAGGGTAAAATAGTAAATAAAATTTTAGATTTTAGTCGGCGATGTTAGATGTATAGAGTTAAAGTAGACTTTAGAATGAACTGGAAACCCATCCTAGACAGGATACAAAGGCATAAACCTCTAATACTGTTCAAAAGACCTCGGAGGATTTGTTTGTTAATCAAGTATCAATGCTTAGAAAAAAAAAAGAAAGAAAAGAAAAGTAAACTTAAGTTCATCCAGTACGAAGTCCAAGAGCCACACAAATTAGAGGGTTACTGAATGATATTGTTGTAAGGTGGGGGAGTAAAAAATGAATATTATGAGGATATGTAGGGTAGATATCGGTGGATCCTACACTTGAAGAGGTTAAGGTTGTAACGGTCAGGGAAGTACCCTCTCGGGAGTCTTTTCCATAAAGTAACAAGATGGTGTCTGAGTGGAACTTACACCTTACTAAAGACACTTAGAGTGAGTGAGCATGATTTGCTACCGTGAATATGGTGTAGTGAGTCCTATATATATATATATATATATAGAAAGTTAATGAAGGGTTTAGTAATCCGTGTGGATAATTCCAAAGAGGATATAATCTAGAGAGCTTAATGTAGCAACAACAGAGCAAATATTAATTAATTAAATTAAAAAAGAGACAACCTTAAGGTTCCATGACTATAATTTATTTCCCCAGAAAATATATTTTTCTTGGTTCATTAGGTCACATCTCTAGTTACAAAGGAATTTGGTTTCTTTATATTTTTAATACAAGTTTTTGGGGGATAGTTTTAGATTGATATATGGTGACAGGGGGGGACCATAGAATGATCTCTATTAGAAATGGAAGGGATAGGATTGTGTTTAAACCATCTTTAACCCTAGGGTCTGCAAATTGGAAGAGAGAGTTATCAATGTTACTGTTCTGACTTCGAATCTGCTGTTATCTTCCTTTAAATCTCTCACCCTCTTTTTTGTTTTTTTAATGTACTTTTTATCACATAAAATTTGATGACGCCCGAGGAAATTTTCATTCTAAAAATGCAGAACAAGAGAAAACAAAAAATGGGAATCACTGCTGTACAATGCAGTAATTACTTGACGCGGCTTTTTTTTATCTTCACAGATTTACCATAGCTCATTTGTGTCCGTTTTATTTTTAATTATCTTTCAGAGAAAGTAGTGCGCAAATTCAATTTTTCACGCATGCTCTGTCTAGCTTGATTTGGCTGCTTCCTTATGGACACATATTTAATTTTGATTTTTAAAGAGAGGTCTTTTCATGTTATCTTCTGATAAAACTCCATGATGTATTCCATACACAGCCTAACCTGAAGATCTGGCCCCAATACATAACATTGACACACATACAGTGATTGTGAATTGTTTTGTAAGACGTACCTGCCACTAGTAAGCAAAAACTTGTACTCTCACACCCAAAACAGTAAGCACCAAATTGTAAGCACCAAATTGTAAGCTAAGTATAGTTTCTCTTTTGTATTTTGCAGTGTTTTATATTTTACGTTGAGCACTGGGTTCCATAAGTTTTTTTTTTATCTTTACCAATGTTTTATCATCATATATATATATATATATATATATATCTGGGTGCGTGTGTGTGTGTGTAGAGATGATCTAAATAAAGAGATATGATCAACGATATACGTGAGCGATCAGGTACACATACAGCTGAATAAACAACTATTTATTTAATCAATGGTGTAGACAAAACAGTGCTCAATATAGTAAAACAGAATTATGAAGTATATATTAATAATTAGACATATACCTACGTTTAGAGTACGACAAAGTGTTTCATGGTTTTTTTTTTTCAGGTACAAAGAGTTTTTTTTATACCTGATGATTTGCAAAACTTGAAACTCTGAGTTAACTAGTTTTAAAATATATATATATATATATATATATATATATATATATATATATATATAATTGTGTGTGTGTGTGTGTGTGTGTGTGTGTGTTTTAATACAAATATAAAATTTGTCATATTAGCTGATGTATATTATATTCATATTTCTAATCCACCTTTATTGCAATTGTTCTGTTCATTCGTCAGGTGTTAATAGCAATTGTCTGTCAATTTTTTTCTGTGTGTATGTGTCTGTATGCGTGTGTATGCATACACCAGTACGTGTGTGTGTGTGTGTATGCATATGTGTAGGATGTCGTGTTTATTTCTTGTCTCCATAATTTCCTTTCGTCTCTTTCTAGTCTCTCATTATCCATTTCCTTACTTTTCCTTTGTCTTTTCGATTCTCAGTGTCAAAAGATATTTTAACAATGTTATTTCCGATGCCGCACACAGGACTTTTATTTAGGCAAATATTCCTGAATGTCCTGAGGTTTTTTAAAGTCTTATAGGTGTATTTCGTTTTTTTTTTTTTTCTATTTGATTTTTATTTATTCTTTTATTTATATTTGTGTGTGTGTGTGTGTGTGTGTGTGTGTTTAGAGAGAGAGAGAGAGAGATGTAGAAATGATGTAAATAAAATGATACGATCAACCATATATGTGAACGATCATGTACACATACAGGTGAGCAAATTATTTATTTAATGAGTGGTGTAAAAAAACAGTGCTCAATGCAGTTAAACAGAGCTATAAAGTATTTAATTTTTAATTACACACACACACACATAAACACAACACACACACACACACACACACACACATATATATATATATATATATATACCTACGTTTACATTAAAATTCAAAAATACTTTACCCATTCGTCAGGTACAAAAACATGAAAATGGAAACGTACTACAAATGTATTAGCATATGTGTAATTAAAAATATATATATATATATATATATATATATATGTATATATATACAATAATAGTTAATAAAAATGTTTGGATTAAATCTGTCTAAATGATTGGATTTCTCTGTATCCTTGGAAACAAAAAATTATGAATATGTGTATTTAAAACTCAGTAAATTTAAAAATAAATTATTCCAAAATTCGCTTGAAGATGAAACAGAATTAATTCTTTTAATTTAATTATATAATTAAATTTGAAGTTTTTAGATTCGGTTTTTGAAACATGGTAATCCCTGTGTAGCGAAGAAACCATATTTTAAAACAGTTAATTTATAATATTTATGCTCTGTAAATTTACATTGAGCACTGTTTTGTAAAAATAAAAATATCAATAAGAACACCGGATTATATATCTTACTGTTCTTTCTTTTTATCATAATATATATATATACATATGTGTGTGTGTGTGTGTATGACTTTGAACATGATGGACCGTATTCTTTTAAATTCGTTGGAACGTCAATAATCAAAAAGCTAGATTTTTCTGTTTTGTGCTTAATGTAAAATATAAATCACATAGTAATATAGAATGCAAAATTTATTTAACTTTTACCTTATCTGCGACTTGCGTAATTTTGGGGGCAATCACAAGAGCTCATGAAACTGAAAGTCGCGGTTATTTTTATTACTTCAAAAGTTATTTTTAGGGGATACCCGTATTTGCCTGAACGACCCATTTTTATTTTAAACAATATTTGTTTCGTCTACCGGCTTGCACACTCGAGAAAACATGTCTTTAATTAGTTTTATCGAGTGTGCAAACTGGTGTAAGCGTAATACACTATATACTAAAAGTTTGGAGCCACCGTCTGGATTTAATAATTAATGTAGAAATGTTTAGCTTGCAAGTGGTCTGACACGTAGACAGGGGTAGTCACTTGAAGTTGCATTTTCTCCGAGTCATTTAATAGAGAGATATATGGGTGAATAGAGTCCACTCATGCAAATGTGTCGGGCGGGTCCATTCAAGCAAAGTGGACTAACCCACCTGGTGCATTAGGTACTCTCCTAGAAGTTAGAATTAGCTGGTTTGCCTTTCCCATGTGCCCCAAGAAGGTAACCTTGTTAGCAGGTAAGTCATTTGATTTCTTCAATTAGTGAGCTTCATACATGTTTTAGTTTAATTAACTCATTTAACCCATCAGATCATGGCATTCAATTTTTTTGAGGGTGCGTTTAGAATTAAAATCTGTCACCCCCTATGATGACCATTGACTAATATGGTAGATCAGGTAAAAAACTTTATGCAGTAATGTGTTAATTTCGTTATTATTATTGAATATATGGTGGGACCCTGCTGGAAGAGAAAACTCCTCTGTCCCGAACTGGGCTAGTAAATTTGTTTTGCAAAAGGTATGTAATATTCAATTTTTAGACGATCTTTGAAATCAAGATGGCGAGGTCAAATCTTTTGTATCTTTCTCTCTCTGTCTGTCTGTCTGTCTGTCTCTTTATATATATATATATATATATATATATATATATATGTGTGTGTGTGTGTGTGTGTGTGTGTATTTCATAGAACCGGAAGTAAGATACCATTATGTAAATGATCATTTTAACCTAGTAAAATTAAATCTAGAGGATTTTTCAAACAATCAATGGATGATAATTTTTTTAAATAAAGATGCCCAAACAAGGGAAAGAAAGAAAGGAAGTAAAAAAAAAAAAA